ACTGACACCTGCTGATACCCCGGCAGGGAAGATCAGGGTTCCGTGTCACACAGCTTCTTCTGAGAGGCCATCCCAGAGGGGCTTCCGATTTCCAGGACAAGCTTCTTTTCCCGATCATGGTATCTATTATAGCTCCTGCACCTCATCTCCAGCCCTGACCCTTCACTTCTAATAGCCAAGTGAGCATTTCCACCCGAAAGTCCCACAGCTACTTTCCTCAACATGTCCTACTCCAAACTCTTCCTCTGCTGCTCAACCCAGTGTCTCTCAGCTCAGTGTGTTGCCCAGGTGCAAATAGTCCTCCCCAACTCTTCTCCTTCCATCACCCCGGTGTATAATCAATGACCGAGCTTTTCCGATTTACTGCTCAGCATCCTCTGAGGGTCGCCCCAGAAAGAAGCACAGTGCAGGCCTCACCTCCCGCGTCTGGAGCCACAGAGGGGTTCTCCTTCCTGCTGTTGGCACTGGAATGTGAATCAGAAACTAAGCTACTCCCAATGCTCCCTCTCCTCTGCTTCTTCCAGCAACAAGTCCCCAGATGTGTGGCCGAAGAGCACACAAGTAACATTTCCCAACAGCCACTTGAGGCCAGGTGACAGTTTTGTCCATTGCAATCTGAGCAGATACAACATATACCATAATGTGAACCATTACTGTGTCCTGAAAGAGAAGCCCATGCCTTCCCTTCCTCCTTCTGGCTTTCTGTGGACTGGAATGCAGTTGCGATGGCAGGGGCTGGTGCAACCACCATGAACCACATATGGAGGGTGGCACCCAGGGTTCCTGAACAGCTTCCTGGGAAAAGCTGTCACACAAGCTAAAGCTTTTACTAGACAGAGAAGTAAACTTCTATCATGATTAAAATGTTTGATAATCTGGGATCTCTGTTATGGAAGGTGAACTAGTATCCTCAATAATAGAGAGCTAAAGAGACCTTAAGCCCATTTCTGTAGCATTTTCCAGCTATGAGATCTTGGGGAAATTAATCTTTTCAAGCTTTCGTTTCCTTAGTTGTATATCTATTTCTCAGGGTCATTTTAGAAATAGATACATGCGGTAACAGTAAAACACTTCCTACAACATCTAACATATACTTGGAGCTCAGCAGGTATTGAAACAGACAGCCCAGCCAACTCTGCAAAATGCCACCAGGATCCCATGGCCCCTTCAAACACTCCCTCTTCCCTTACAACAAACACCAACCCTCTCACGTGACCCAGGAAGTCCTCTCACCCACCCCCCTCTCTGCCCCAGCCTCTCCCACCCCGGCACCCTTTGGCTGTACTGCCCTTGTCACCTCACTCCTTCCACAAGCATTGACGGGGGCCTCCCACACACCAGACACTGTGCTGGGGCTCCAGTTGCAGACCCGGGACCTTGTCTCAGGGACTATCGTCTAGTGAGGGAGGGGGAAAAGATCAAGTAAACAGTAAGTGCAGCTAACATGTAGTGAGCACTTACTATTTGCCAGGTGCTGCCCCTCACCATTTCTACAGGTTCAGACTCTCATTTCCTACAACAACCCGCGCTGGGTGCCACTCTCACCGTCCACATTTACGAGATGTGGAAACAGAAGCAGAGCAGCCAAGCACCGTGCCCAAGGTCACACAGCTTGTGAGATGGAGCCAAAACTTCAACCCAGGCAGCCTGACAGCTGGGTTAACCACGTCTGCACTTAACCACTACTCCACCCGGTCTTTTACAACTGTAAACCCTGCCACCCAGGGGAAGCCCATAGGGGCAGACACACCCCGCTCCGCCTGCCCCTGGACCTTGGCACATGCTGTTTCCTCCGCCTGGAAAGCCTGTTCCCCCTCCTCTGCCTAGTTCACTTCTGTCCTGACCCTTCAGACCCTAGAGTTTGGAAAGTGTCCCTTCCTAAGGGACAACGTCTCTCCTTCCCCATAAGACGCCCTGGATCCGTTTACAAACGCTTGCTTCGTGGCATTCATCCCATCATAGTTCCATATTTGCTGATTGTTTATACGTCCTCTCTACTCTCCCTTCCCCACCGCCATTAGATCTCGGGGCTGCAAGTGACACAAACACCCCGGTATCGCTCAGTGCACATAGTGGGTGCTCAATAGACATCTGGTGAATTACCCGACTGACGACTTACTTACCTCGCTCGCAAGCTCTACGGCTGTAAGGCTTTCTCCGTCTCTCCCGGGTGGTCTCCTGCCTTCCTCAAGGCCTCTGCCCCACGTGGCCCCTGCTCCTCATGTCCCCAACTAGCCCAAGTTCCCGGAAGGAGGGCTGTGGTTCTGCCAGGCCAATGCAGGATATGGGCCTGGGGGAGGACAGGGGGTTGGCGACCTCACAGACGCCCCCTAGTTTCCCAGGACCCCATCCAAGAATGAGAGATTTCCCAAGACTGACCCAGGGAGTGAAGCAGAGGCTCCGAGGAGGGCCCAGACCCCGGACATCATGTCTCGATGGCCAGAGATGATCTCTAAACCCCATAAAAGCTGGAGCCGTGGAGGCGGCAGTACCACCATCCCCATGCGCTGTGGTCTGGACGCAGGAGCCAGCGAGATCAATATCGTTCCGGAGGCTTTCAGCTCCAGGTCCTTTCTGCTGCCAAGTCTCCCCAGAGGCCCCGAGGCCCAGGGAAATGGTGCGGAGGAGGCAGGAGGCAGAGGGAAGGGGAGGAAGTGCACATTCCGTGAGGGCCTGCAGCCAAGCAGTAGACCCAGAGCCATCCTGTGTGAGGCATGGTCTCCATCCTCACACCAGCCCTCCCTCCGGGGCGGTGTTATCGTGCTTTACAGATGAGAAAACTGGGCCCAGAGAGAGAGAAAGTTCTCCCACGGTCCCAGCAGAGTAAGAACCAAACCCAGCCCTGCCTAGTTCTGAGGCCAGCGCTCTCCCAGGCAGGGCCCAGCCACACCGACACTCTGGGCCCGGCCGGGAAAGGGGGGGCTGACCGAGGCTGTGCCTGTGGCACAGCCAGGATGGAGGCTAGGAAGGGTACCCCACAGGCCTTCTCCAGGACACCTGCAGGGACGGGAGCTCACCCCTCTAACAGCATCCCTTCCCGTCACGGGCAGCTCCTCTCGCTCTGACCTCCCTGGGACCTCCCCTGACCGGCAGGCCTGGGGCAGAGGCTCCACCTTTCCAATAAGCTCCCTAGTGACGCCACACAAAGCGAAAGGTCCCTTGGGTCTCCTGAGCAATATGGAGTGTCAGGACCGCTCCCCTCCCTAACCTCAAGCCATCTTGCTGCAGCCCCAGACACCTCCCCCTCCTCAGGGCCCCACCCTGCCTCACCGCTTAGTCCCCTCGAAGCCAGGTGCTACTAGCTCCCAGGCCATAGCCTGTCTGTCTCATCTCCTCTCTCTCTCAGGCCCGGCACCAGGCCCAGCCACGGAATCCACGTCACTCTACAGCTGGGGGCGGGGGGGGGCATCAGAGAGTGACCTCCCCGTCACACACCAGGAGCCCTGTCTACTCTCCGGAAGACAGCCCCACTGCCCAGCGCCCTGATGACTCTGAGTTTAATCTCCTGCCCGCCCATCATGCATCATCAGTCTTCCCTTCCGAAGCGAACCCTGAGCGCCGAGGGAGAGGCGAGAGCTGGCCAGCTTGCCTGGGTTCACAGCCTGGCTCTGCTGCTCACTCGCCAGCTTGGCGGTAGTGAGCAATCTCGGAGTCTCTTTGAAGCCCCGTTTCTCTTTCTGCAATATGAGGACAAGGGCAGCCCTTATCTTGCTGGGTCTGTGCGCATGAGAACACACACATGCTCAGCAAGGTCTTGGCACTCCGCAGGTCTGCCAATGCCAGCTGTCGCCAGTGGTGACAAGTACCAGCTGTGCCCATGAGAAGCAGTGTGACCTCTCACAGCCTCAGTTTCCTTTTCTGTCGCTTGGGTCAATGCCACCTGCCTCACGGGTGTATTGGGAAGATGAGACCCGGCGAAGGCTAGCACATAGTAGGTCTGGAACACACACACGGTCCCCCTCCACCACGGGCAGCAGCCGGCTTCTTTGTTTTTGTGTCCCTTACGGCAGCTCTCTGGGGACAGTCTGAGGGCCCATGGGGGTTGTGTGAGGTCAGAACTATGTCCTGAGGAAGACTAAGCTTGTCCTTTGCACTAAGGGAACCGGAAGCCTTCTGAGAGGAACTGCTGCCTTCTGAGGAGCCAGGCGTGAGAGCACTTTGGAAAATGAAAAGCAGTGTTACTCTTCACCCCAAGCCTTTTTATTTTAGATAATAGTTTTTCATAAAATTTCCATTTATGTTAACAGGGTAGCGAGTTGAATATTGCCATGGAAGGGGATTGGAAAACGCTTTTTAAATGCCCCCCGTTTTCATGGACAGCATGGTACGTACGGAAAGGTAGAACCCACATGGACAAAAGCTCTGTGGGGTCCTCAGTAACTGCTCGGTGTAAAGGGGTCCTGAGCCCAAGCAGGGAGTGAGAGAAGCCGCCCTGGTGCTCAGTGCTGGCCCCACGGCGGCCTCAGCACCACGTGCTCCCAGCAGCCCCGAGCCACCTCCCGGCCGCGCGGTCAGCTGTGCGGGGAGCTGGAGCTGCCGCGTGAGCATCTGCGGACTGCCAGGGCGCCCTGCACCGCGCTAGGCACGCCTCGCTGGGTACCACCCACACTTGCTGAATCGCAAAGCATTCACCCAGGACACCGGGATGGACCTTGCCTAGGAACCGAGCCAAGTCAGGGCCGCGGGATGGAGACGCATTCCTGTCGCCCCATGTGAGCCCCGGGTCCAGCGGTGCTTGCCTCTTGGTCACAGGGGCCAGCACTCTCCTTTTTTATTTCCTTAGGCCAGTTTGAGTGGAGTTTCTCTTCCAGAAGGAAGAGTCCAGGTGAAAATCTCACAGTCGCCAGAACCAAGACCTGGGGGTGGGAGGCCTCCGGGAGGACCAGGTGAGCAGTCCGGCGGAGGCAGCCGGGAGCCGCAGCCAGAGCTCGGAGGAGGCCTTGCTTTGCCCACCAGACACCAGGCAGACCCCTTTCCAAACAACACAGCTAGACAACAGCCCAGGTTTTCTTTCACTTTATCATTTATAAAGCCATACAATGGATCGCAAAGAAACAGAGCCGCCGGCAGGAGCGGGCAGCCTCGGTGTACAGCACATTCATGTCCAGGGTAAGTAGCGTAATCAGGGTTTATACAAGGCGGCCGTGGCTATAGGCACGATGATACAAATAGAAAGTATATTTCCATCTATATAAATACACAGTCAGGGCGCGGGAGGAGGGCGAGTTACTCTGGTTCTCCTGCAGAGGGGAGGCCTGGGAGGCAGGGGAGGGTGAGGTGGGGTGGTGAGGGTCTCCTTACACTTGTTTTGAATGACACGTCAGAGGGAGAGGAGAAATAGGGAGACACACGCAGACACAGATGTGCCCCGCATGCGCGCACACACACACAAACCCAACACGGACACAGGAGAGTCTCAACTGCTTAACACTGATTAGAAAACCAACGTGGGACATCCCTCGACAACTGCCTCCCTCACTGCTCGGAAGAGCCAGGCATGGGAAATAAGCACAGGTCCTCCCACATTTGGGACATCTGAGGACCACAGAGCTCACCCCATTACCAACACTGAGGTTCCACCCGTCGAGGCCCTACAGGCCTCGCCTCTCGATTCCTTCCCCGCCCGATGATATTGAACTTGAGATCCTCCTATTGCCCACCTCCTCCAACCCAGCCCTGCAGATCCCTAGAGAGAAGAGCAACATATGCACACACACACACCCGCACTTGCACGCACCGCACACACATCCTATGTCACCACTGCCAGGGGACTCTGGTCTCCAGATCCCGGGGCCTGGCCCTGGGGGAAGAGTGGCTCCAGGGCCCGGCCTCTGACCTCTGACCTCTCCAAGAACCCCAAGTGTGGGAAGACACAGGGGCAGAGGCTGCCCGTGGACTCGGGCATGGGCCCCCTTTGCTCTCCGCAGGTCCTGAAGCTGGGATCAGAGGGAGGGGACCCCGGGGCAGGGTGGCGGTGCACGCCGGGGCACAGGTGTTGTCCCACTGGTGAGGAGTCTGCCCATCTCTGCTCTCACCCATCCAAGGAGGGAGGAGAATGCTCCACTCATCTCCCTCCTGGAGCCCCTTCATGGAAGGGTCACGCTCATCCAGCCTGCTGCCTCCTCTTGTGGTGGCACAGCCACCAAGCCCATCACCTGGTCCTGCCAGCTTCTGACATGCCCAGGGATCCCCAAAGCCCAGGGCAGGAGGAGTCCTGGCTGTCCAAGAGCTTGGAGAGGCTGCAGGAAAGGCTGCCATGAGGACCAGGTGAAGACCTTTCCCAAACCCAGGAAAGACATGTCTGTCCCTCAAACACTAGCTAGACAAGGGAGCCAGAGCACGTGACCTCAGGGGGGAGGGGGGGATGCCAGTCACCTTGGAGGCTGATCAAACAGCTCGCTTCCTCCCTATTTCCTCTCTGGGGTCTGCTCTCCATTGTTCCCATGCTGGGTCCTCCCCTCTCCTTCCACCTGGGAAGAGCCACGTGGCGCCCCTGGGCCTGTGTCCCTGCCTCCCTGCCTCGGAGGCCTGGCTGGAGGGCAGCCAGAAGCAGGTGGGGCCTGGGGCCAGGCTGAGCCCGCCTGGGGCTGTGTGGTGAGTCACACGCTGACCATGCCTCTCCTGCACCCGCCCCACCCCGCTCCCAGCCTCCTTTCAAGACCAGACAGCACTCTCCTCGCTGACAGACGGGGTCAACACTAAACAACAGCAAATATGTCGAGGGAGAGGGGGAGAGAAAGGGATAAACATTTACACGATAACAATAATTATTAAAAGTGCTTTCTTTTAAAGGACATCTTTGGCAAGAATATACTGCAGTGCTGCGGTGTGTGTGTGTATGTGTGTGTGTGTGTGTGCATGCACTTGTGCGCATGGGTGCGCGGGCCCAGCCTCTGAGATGGGAGGACTACAGTGTCTTCCCAGCCAGTGCCTGACCCAAAGGGGGGACCTCGGTGGAGACTGAGGTGCCTTCCCCATTCCTCAGGAAAAGCCGAACTCTGGGAAGCCAGCTCCCTCCAGAAGGACCCAGAGAGGGAGGGATGCGGCTCCCCAGTGCCCCTGGGTCCTGCTCACGGGGTCACCCTCAGCTCAGTCTGGGAGGCGGGCTGGCCATGCCTGGGCAGTGGGCTGCGGTGGGCGGTGGGCAAGCGTGTGAGAAGGCTGACCCTGGGCCCGGGTCTGCCCGGCGGTCTAACCCTCCACTGGCCTCGGTGTGGAGAGGACGTCCAGACCAGGAGAGAGCCCCCGGCTGGCCAGTGGGAGGTTAGACATTGACAAAGGAAGGGGTGGAACTTCTCCTATGGAAGAGGCGGGGGGAGGTGGGGAAGGGGAGAGGGAATCCCAGGATCTGGCTTGAATGCCTCAGAAGGAAGAGCACTTTGGAAGAACCTCAGTCACCAAGCACACGGTTTCAGTCTTTGGGAAGCGGGGGGCTGCACCCCGTCTTCGTTAGACACTCTCCTTTCTAACTCCCTGAAACAGTACGTCCACACAGATACAGCTTCTTGGAGAAAAAGTACAAAAGACACACACACTCCCCATGCCCACCACACGCACCCATGCCCCGCGCTGGCTCACACACCCGCTCCAGCCCTGGTGAGGGGGCTTCTCTTGGGGCCTGATGGCCAAGGCCTGGGTGGCCTGCCAGAAAACAGGGGGCCAGAGGAGATGGAACACGTGCACCTCTCCCTGCCAAGCCCCAGACAAGGTCTAGGGAAGGCCAAGGCTAGGGCAAGGAGACCCCTGATTGCTCCAAGAATAAAGGCCCCTGCTTTCCAGGCTTCCCTTGTACAGAGAAAGAGGGGTGCGAACTGGTTTTTGCCCAGGGAGGCAATAAAGCAATATGGGGAAACAATAAATACTTCTTGTCAATTTACCTATTCTTGTTTTAACCTTTTCTTATATTTTATTAGCTTACAGATTCTGTCAGTATGTCTCACATATATATTATATATATTTATATATCAGTACAATGCCTCTCTCTAGGGGACCACCAGAGGCTTAAGAAGCCCCTCAAGAACAGAGACCTGGTGACTTTTTCTATTCGAGCTGAGAGTACTTGGGTGGAGGTCGGGGGTTTCCCAATTGCCCAGGTGGGCTCCAGGCCCTTTGGCCTAAAGGCACGCCTTCTGCACTCTGCTCACAGGCAGCTTGACTCTGCTGGGGAAACCAAGGCAGAAGTGGGAACAGCAAGGCTTTGGTATTGTACAGAGGCCATATGGTATATAGGCAGCAGCCCAGGGCTGAGTCACCTGGATAGCCCAGCAGGAGTGAGGCCCCAAACCCAGGCAGAGGGGAGGACAGGACCCCAGGGGTCCCCTGGGCCTTGCTGAGCAGGGCTCTTGGAAGCAGGTTCCCCAGGATGAGCCAAACAGAGGGATCCTGCAGGACAGAACAGAGCTGGGCCGATCAGGAAGGCTCGATCCCCAGCACCCAAAAAGGCATCATGCAGATAAGCCGGTCTGAGATAAGGCTGGTGTGGTCTTGGCAGCCAAAATGGGCCGAGGGCTGAGAGCTGGGGGGAGTGGCCTGCCCACCTTGCCACACGATTTGGGGAAGAGGCCTGGAGGTCAAAGCCACTGTGGCTGGTGAGTCTCTTCCCCAAGGCTATGGAAATGCACATTTCCATCCCTTCCAACCAATGGTCCCGCCTCCTGGCCGAGGCAGGGTGGTAGCCCCACTCCTGCTGGGGTCTTTGCCAAGGAGATGGAGCTGGCAGCACACGGGGCCAGTAGAGCGTGGGCACAGGGACCAAGCCAGAGCCCGTCGCCCATATTCCTGGGTGCTCCTGGGGAAGAAGGCTGGCGTCCCCTCCCTGATGCTGGGTCACCCCAACTCTGATCTCTGGACAGTATGTACATGTGTGCAAATATGGAACATGGACAAGTACACCTGTTTATAATTCTAGCTGAGAGTCGAATATAAATCTGAGTGTGAGGATTTGGGAGCAGATATATACACAACCCCACGTACATTCCCACACAAACTACACATCAGAGGCAGAGCAGAGAGACCTTAGGTACCTCGGGTCTGAGATACTTTCAAAGCAAAAGTCCTGCCACGTGATGTTCCATGCTGGCTCCTTTCGGTTTGAGAAGGTACCCTAGAGGGGGCCAGAAAATGATTCTCTTCACTTGATTTCTCCTTGCAAAGCAGTTGGGCTATGGAGACATTTTTCCATTTCCCCCAAAAAAATATGGGTCCCCAAGGAGGCCAGCTCTTCCTCCCGTGAGGAGCTGTGTCCTCGGGAAGGGCGAGAGGGAGTGAGGTGGACCTGCTTCGTTTTGGAGACTTTGAGGGTTGCGCAGTAGCCATCTACCCAAGGGAATCCGAGTTATCCTCCTCCATCCTTTTCTTTCTTTCTCTCCCTCTCTCCCCCGCCCCTCCGCCATTCACTTCCCTCTCCCCATTTCACACTTTCTTCTCTCCTCCAAAATTGGCCCAAAGTCCTCCTTCTGGATTCAGAGGTGGTCAGGATTCACGGGTCCCCTCCCCAATGTCCCATCCCCACTGCCCTGGCCCGGGGCATCTGGTGAGTTCATCTCTTCTGGCCCGCACTCAGCATGACCTTGGAGACGAAGTTGACAATGGCGGAGGCGGGCTGGTTGGGATCGAGCTCAGCGAAGAGGTGGCAGGCGTTGTCCGTGGTGCTGCCCTGCTTCCGGGCCACAAAGCCGAAGAGCCTGCAGGGACAGAGGAGGGGGGACAGGTGAGTGGGGAGGGCAGGGGGGGCCAGGCCTTGGAGAGGTGCCCAAGTGAGCAAGCTCACCTTCGGGCTAACTTCTCCCCCCATCTGCCCTCATCTCCTAAGCACAGGGATCGGGCTGGGTGAGACCAAAAGAGAATCCTCTCTCTCTTCCACTGACAAGACAGTCCAGTGACAAGAAATGGCAGTGGCTCTGGTTTCAGGGGAGCATAGAAATTCCTCTTTTGCAGTGGAGCAGAGGAAGGCTAAGGAGGAGGAGCTGCAGGCCAGTGACAAGACTGGACAGAGAGGTGGATATGGAACCAAAAATAAAATGGAGACATTCCTAGCTGAGCTCCTCTCAGTCCATCTCAGCCCCACCCCCACCCAACTGTCCTCACATACCACCCAAACGCGAATGAATAAAATGCCGCCTGCCCGTCAAAGGGCCGGACCTCCTCAAACACCTGGAGAAGGTCGGGGAGACAAAAGGACAAGGGTCAGGACCTTCTCCCACCATACACACATTTCTCTTGGGCTCCGGAGAATGGGAGGAGGGGTAGGGAGACCCCACAGCTGTTCCCCCAACCCCCACTCCCTGCACCAAGACTGGAGTGAGCTGGCATTCTCTCTGCAAGTCAGAGTTAAAAATACGAGAGCAGAGAACAGAATGTGAACTCAGGTCCCCTCCTAGCCAGCATGTTGCTAATTAGAGTGAGACGGGGCAATCGGGACAGCTGGGGATTCCGATGGAAACCCCTCTCCCTGGGACTGGACCACAACAGCCAAAATTAGAAAAGTTGGGTCCGGCTTCCAGCCATGCACACGTATGTGTGTACACACCCTGGGCTTCCTACAGCTGTTTCAGGGCCTGGGAATCACCGAGCCAGAGGTCTGGGGCAACAGTCTAAGGAGTGGAAGAGCCTGGGGCCAAGAGCAACCCCCCTGAATCCCCTTCCCAGGCTTGCTGGGCTCCTTGGTGCAGTGAAGGGTGTTCAGGGCACCAGGAGGGAGAGGTTCTGAGCTGTGGGCATTGTTTACATCAGCTCCAAGGCTCCCAGGGCCAGCTCAACTATAGCCAATTCCTTTCTCTGCTTAGGGAATGGATCCAGGCAAGAAACCTCAACCCCAGGTGCATGGAGGAGCATTTCTAAGGACCTGAGAGCTAGACCCTCTTTCCTTTGGGGCCTCAGGCATCCATGTGCCTCATCCTAGACCCATCCCCAGCCGGCTCCCTGGGCTGGTGCCCCGCCTAGCAAGGCCAGGTCAGCAGGAAGGTCAGCGCAAAACTAGTTCCTGAATAAGGAGAATGAGTTACAGGCCTGGGACCAGCCCACTCCTGTCCCTGACTCCTCTCCCCACACAGAGCTCAGTGGTCAGTGAACAGGAGCTTCCTCAGATACAAAGCTCTGGCCTCCTGGTTGGTGGCGGGGACACAGAGACCTGAATGAGCCCTGTGAGCCCAGGATCATAGGGTTCCGTGGAACACAGTTTGAAAACCACTACAGCATGTGAATGTTTATGCATGTGTCTTATCCACTGTGCCAATGTTGGGCCTCTTGGAGTTAAAGTCAGCCTTCTGTTCAGGGCTAAGTTCCTCTGAGGTTCTTAGGAAATTCTGAATGGATGGAGGTATTAGCCAATTAGAATTCAGACCTTCTGGGCTCCATGTTCTGATGAAGTCTAGCCCAGTCACGCAGAAGTCCACCCAGAGAGTAGACTGGGAATCAAGAAGACCAGGATTGGGGCAGAAAAGATCATTTCAACAACCCTGCCCCACTGTCATCACCTCATTAAACTCTCACCTTCCTGTCCAATTCCTCAGATCCCTACTGGCCTAGTCCTGCGAGAGGGAAGGTGACAAGATTGGAGGCAGAAGGCAAAAGACCTGGTTGCCTGGTCCAAAGCTGAGTGACCCTCTCTGCCCTTTGCCTCCAACTAGTCCTGGATTCTCAACCTGCCCCTGCTCTCCCCACTCCCACAAAGACCAGCCGGCTGGGATGGAGGAGAAGTCTCACTTACTTAGCAGGGGCACCTCCCTCCGTCTTCATCCACCTGTGAAGAGAGAGAGAGCACAGCGTAATCCACCGCACCTGCTCCCTGGAGCTCAACCCCGTGCATGCCCAGACCTTCTGGGGGAAGGCAGAGGAACCCCGCTATGGGTTGGCGGGCATGCAGATAAAGAGAACTGTGGCCTGTCTCCCAAGGTCCCTTCCCAGTGTGGAGAGAAGCAGATTCAAGGTCAGGGACAAGACAGAGAGGGGGCGAAAGTGGGCATTTGAGTCCCTGGAAGGGTCTCCAAATTTGTTGTGGAAAAAACTCAGAAAGATGCCCAGCACAGTTACTTTCACTCTCACAGACACAAGCAGATCTTTGAGTTGAACCAAAAATGCACACACGCACACATATGTTCACCTGCACACACATGCACACATACATAGAGAGACTTCAGTGTTCTAGAGCTGGCTGGGAGGGAAGGTGTCTACATAAAACTCACTTTCTCTCCTGTGGATCCAGGTCACAGAAGGTGACGGTGTTGAGAGGGTAGTGTCGTCTGAAGAAGAGCCTGTGGTACAGACATCAGATAGAGTGAGTGTTGAAGTGACAGATCAGGCCATCTTCCCATCATCTGTGGCTGCTGTAGGTCAACACAGCCTCTCCCTTATGACCAAAATAACCTGGGCTGCTCACACTGGGGTCATAGGCAATGCAGGGAGACAGCTAGATGTGTCAGAGAAACTACAGGTTAGGAAAAGGAGAAAGAAACTGGCATTGGGGGATGAGAAATAGGGGTACCTTGGAGGAGAAAGGATGGGGCGGGGGAACATGTTAGAGAAAGCATGAGAGGCAAGGCTCTGTTCTAGAAAGCAGGTTCTTTTGTCAGTTGCATTTGCAGCTCTATACCCAATGCAGGCACATTTGTAGAAAGATGGAAAATGGGTAGATGGAGGCATAAATGACTGAAGGAATACATGGAGGACTATAGATGGGGGATGAATGGATGCAGAGATGGATGGATCAACTGGTGAGTGGGTGAGCAAGAGGATGGATGGATGGATGGATGGATAGATGGATGGATGGATGGGTGGATGGATAAATGGGTGGATGGACAGGTGGCCGGATAGACAAGAGGATGGATGGGAGATAGATGGGTACAAGGAATGAGTCAATTGGTAAAGTGCGTGGGTAAATGGAAGAATAGATGGGTCACAGGAGGAGGGCCTAACACAGAAGTGGGCTGAAGATTCTTACTTTCTCTGGTTGTCAGTCAGTGTGATTCCTTGAGCAGACACTTTGAAGTGAACGATGGTGGCAGCTGGTGTGGGGTCAGCAGCCAGCGTCTCGGAAATGGCTTTGGAGATGGCCTGGGGCCCAGTGAGCGACTCCATGTCCACAGAGTTGACGAAGAGCACGTTGCAGGCTGGAAGAAACCCACCCAAGGAGACGTCATGGGGGCTGGATTGAGTGGGGACCGACCCCAGGACCTCTCTTCAAGCCAATCTCAAGCCAAAGTGCCAGAGTCCAGAAATGTGGTGTGCCCACCCAGAGACATTTGGTTATGGGAGTGATGTCCAGCCTGCACCTGCAGGAGGGGACAGGGCAGAAAGAAGGAAAGGGATGGACAGGGTCTGGCCACTCACCTGCCCCTTGCTTTAGCAGGTCAGTGGTTGAGTTGGCAGGGCCCGAGCTATCTTTCGAGTCATCTGTGGGATCTGAGACAAAGATTTCATTCAGCCAGTAATTAAAACTCTAGACCTGGAAAGGATCCCCAGTCTGCATGGGCCTAAGGCGAGCTCTGCAAATGCTTTGTGCAATGGATACTGCTTTTCATATCAGACCCTGGCAGCCAGTACGTGTGTGTCCAGTTGGAATGGTCAATACTTGCTCTCTGGTTGAGAGCTCCAGATTTCAACAGAGCTGGGTTGAAACCCTCAGCCCAGGACCTGCTAAGTACCTATAAAGTGGAAATGATGGTGATAGAAGTGTTTCGGTGGGTTTTTTAAATGCTCCATGTACAGTGTTAGCCCAGCGCTTGGCATAAGTGGCAATTAGTGGTGCTGTGCTTTTGTATTGATGTCTGTGTAGATCAATAAATGCCCTCACTCATTAAACACTTAAATAGCACAATTATCATTTCAATATTAAAAAAGAATCAAGTACCATTGACACCAGTGTTTTTCAGACTTTGCTGTGCAGACTTGTAAATACCAGAGAACCTGATTAGGTGGGACTTGAGAATAGTTGCATTTGAAACAAGGTCCCGGGAGTGCTGATGCTGCTGGGGATCAGGCCTGGAGAACTACTAGTTTATACAATGTACATATCAGTTTGATCATTGCTGAATTACTTTGGTAAATTCTGTAGAAATATCATTTAATTAGTGTCTAACTGTCATGGTTAATAATGCTATTTAAGTGGCATTTGAACTTTTAAGCTAATAATGTTGGTCAATTATCATTAATAATTCAATGAATCGAATTGGATACATAGAGACTATCAAACAATATTGGCGGTTTTCTGTGTAGGCAAAAACCTCAGGAGCTCCAAGAGAGAAGAGAGAGTCCCAGGGGCACTTCTGAAAATATTATTATTGAACAGAGGGAGTAGGCACCTCGGCTCCCAGTTTCCAGACCTCAAATTCAGGGCCAAGCATATTCCGCTCCCGTGGGCACTGTGTACTTGCGGACTGGGGATAGAAGCCTGTGCTACAATAGAAGCTTCGCTTTGAAGAGCTTGGGGTCTACCTGCCATCCCCCAAGGTGGGACACCCCTCTGAGAGAAGCTGAAACCTCCTTTGCTGGCCCTGTGTCTCACTCGGGTTCTCATATTCTATGTCCTGAGGCTCTCGGCTTCCAGTCAAACATCCCACAGCTCAGTGTTGCCTCGGTCAGGGGACATCCTGTTAGCCACACAGACTAGAAACTCCAGGGACATCTGACGGTCCCCTTTCCTTCCCACGCCATGCAGAGCCAGCCACCTCTCCTCTAAGAGTCCCTCCAGAGTGCTGTCTCCTGTCCATTCAGGCCAACCTCCCACCGTGGAGCACCCCATGACCTAAATCTGCCTCCTCTTCCCCTCCCCTCATCCCTGCCCAACGACAAGTAGCTCACCCTCTGGACAAAGTCCTCCCACACTGTCTCCTGGGATGAGGCTTATTCTGATAATTCATTTGAATTTCTTTAAGCCTCTAGAGAATTTTCTAGAACAATCTGGCAAGTCAATTATGTACATTCCTGGAGTTAAGCTTTTTAATAAATGTTTCCTTTTTTTTTTTAAGTAGAAAAAAAAGAGGTGGTTTTAAGTTTCCCCAGATGGCAAAATGACCCATGTCCTCCAAGCCTGGCCCAAGCTCTGGAGTGCTGGCAGGGCCGAGAAACGAAGGAGGCCAGTTCAAGGGTGGGCTGGGAGACGGAGGAGTGTCAAGTTCCTACCTCGGTTTGGAATGACCAGCTTACAGGGCAGGGCCAGCGGGATAATGGAGTGCTGGTAGACCAGGGCAGAGAGAGATCCTGTGGGGAGGGAAATGGCATGTCATCGCAGCTTTGCTGGAAGTGGGCTGGAGCACTGAGGGAGCCCACCACCCCACCATGATCAGCTTCTTCATTACCCTCCTGCATCCCACCAACGAAACTGAAAATCCACTCCCTCTTAGTTATCGAGACCCACTGGAGAATATTCCAATGGCTCTCCCTAGCAGTGATAGGTTACTTAACAACTTTCCCTTAGAGAAAGTTACTCCCAACATCTCTCCCAAGCCCCTCCATCTGCCGGGGCCCCTCTCAGGACAGTGCAGCAGAGGGCTCATAGAGAATTGTGGGATCAAATCCCAGCTCAAGTCACTTATTAGCTGTGTTCTTATGCAAGCCTAACTTCCATGAACCTCCATGTCTTCACATGTAAAACTAGAGGCCTGGTGCACAAAATTCGCGCGAGGGGCTTACAGCCCCAGCTTTGTCCTGAAGGACTTCGGATCTAATTAGCATGTTACACTTTTATTATTTAGATGGGACAATGGCACCTACCATGCAGGATTGTCACGAGACAAAGTAATAGAAGGGACCTAGACAGTGACTTTCACATAGTAGGTGGTCAGTAAAGGAGACTGTTGTTATAGCTGTTATTCAAATTACAATGATAACAAGTCTCAGTGGGGCAGGACATCTATCAAGAGGAATCGGGCAGAGAGAAGGGACTGGAGGACAGAGGAAGGGAAATCACTCTCTGCTGTGTCTAGGACAAGAGGGGTGGGCAGAACCCAGGTGGGCGGTCGGGGAGAGAGGCCTGGGGCAAGCCTGGGGTCTCTGCAGGCCAACTGGGGAGACAGAAGTGGGGGAAATCTCACCGAAGTTTGGCTCGTTGGGGCAGCCCTTGAGCTTGACTCCTCGGGGACCGGTCTCAATCAGGAAATGTCTCACCAGCTCATGGGTCATGTCCCCTGGGATGAAAAGGAAGCAATGAGTACCAGTCACTTCTCATGGTGCCCTACCACCCCCGATTTCCGGCTTCTCCAGTGTGAGGGCTTTGACGGGAGAACCCTGGAATGGAGGGACGGTCTCTCCTTTCCTCCCTCTCAAGGAAACGCAGTCACAGAGACCCAATAATCTGGCTTCCCCAACCATCACCAAGTCCAAGACTTGCTCTGCTAAAGAGGGTTTCGCAGGGACCAGCCCCCAGGAGAACTAGAAAGCTGCCGAGCCCCCAGGTCCCTCTGGCTTTGCAGAGACCATATGGATCACTCTGCCCTGAAGCCCGGTTAGAGAAGACAGCGTTACCTTTCTTGTTCTGCTGCATGATGGTCGGAGGGGGAGAAGACACCTTCATGGCCAGCCCGTAGGCTCCTCGGAAGGAGTGGCTGTCCCGGATGATGAAGGCTCCCGGCTCCTGGTCCTTCAGGAGAGCGATGGCTGGGCCGGGAGTGGGGGACGGGGGAGAAAAGAAGAAATAAGAAATTGATGGCAACTAGCTTTCCTTAAGTCTCATCGGGCCTCTGGAACCTCATTTTTTCATAAGTGAGAGGAGACTCTTTAAAGTGAGAATCCAAACACTTCTTAGGATCTTTCTATACTGGAATTGGCAAACTTTGACTGTAAACGGCCAGGTGTAGATAGTTCAGGCTTTGCAGGCCATGCAGTCTTTACTGAAACTGCTCAACTCAGCCACTGCCACACAAAAGCAGCCTCAAACAGGATACAAATGAATTGATGTGGTTGTGTTCAATAACACTATAGTTACCAAACAGATAGCAGACCCGGGGGCCGCATCACCAACAACCTGTCCTGTGTCCACACAGACTTTAGGGGCCTGAGGTGGGCCTCGTCTCCACCCCGATAGCCCCAACTTCATTTTTCTGTAAAATGTACAAAAATCTCCCCTATTGTGCAGATGGAGAGCTACCATTTCCTACTATCATGGCCGGCCTTTTACTTTGCCCAGAAATCAAGACTTGGCTCATTTTAAGGATCCTTCAAAGAAGTGCTTACAATCAACTGCTCTGCTCCCCCACACATCACCAGAGTGACTGCTCTTCCTGTCTGACCTGGATCCCAGCCCCCTCTCTATGGCCACCACCTACTGCAAAGAGGAAGGAGTCTACTTAAATTTCTTGTGCGGGGGAAGCAACGGCCAGCTATGACCTTGGATGGACCCCAGGGCCCCCCAGCACTCACCCTGCTCTCTGGAGATCTCGGGTTTGTACCAATACTTGGAAGTGTCCTGGACAAATTTCACTTTAGCCCGGGTCTCTGGGCTGTTGTCTAAAGGAAGGGGAAAAAAAGCAATATTGGTTAAATTGTGCCCCCCCCAACCCAAAAGATGTGCTGGGGGTCCTAACTCCGATACCTGTGAATGTGACCTTATTTGGAAATAAGGTCTTTGCGTATGTAATCAAATTAAAATGAGGTCATACAGGATAAGAATGGTCCCCAATCCAATATGACTGATGTCCTCATAAAAGGAAAAAAGTGACGGAGACACCCAAAGGGGAGAGCACCATGTGGACATGGGGGCAGATTGGAGAGATGCCTCTACAGCCGAGGGACACAAAGCACTGCCAGCAACGAGAAGCCGGGAAAAGGGCCTGGAGCAGACGCTCCTCCCTCTCAGAGCCTCCAGAAGGAGCCAACCCAGCCAACACCTTGATTTTGGACTTTTGGCCTCCACTACTGTGAAAGAATAAATTCTGGGTCTTCAGCATAAAGTCTGTGGCACTTTGTTATGCTGCCCTGAGAAAGTCAGTCACCTCACACATCAGCAGAGTATTGCTCAAAGGCCCTGAGCAGCTTTGGCATTCTCTCTGTCCACCACCAACCACGTGCGCCACAGAGCGCTCTCCTGCTGAGGGGCTGGTACAGCATTCTCCCTGGGCCAATGAAGCCCCACTCCACCCCATCTCTTTTCTCTATAAGATTCAGACTAGACCCTTCTTGCAGCTTCTTTCCCACAGTCTAGTTCTAGCCTCTTTCTCCAGAGGCTCAATGTCCCAACTGTATCATAACAACCTGGAGGACTGGGCAGAAAGACCATTTCGTTCCACTTCTCCCCAGTCCCCTCCTCATTCCCATCCAGAAAGCTCGAGTTCTTTATCACAGAGGACAAAGGAGTCGCTCCTGATCTAGAACAAACAGGGGAAGGTTTGACCTAGAATTTGAAAGCCATCTCATGTGTCACATACCCCACTTCTCTGGCAGATGCTCCCACCCCAGACCCTCTGTAGACTTAGGATTATTTCACAGAACAATAGGTTCTAGAAGGACCTCTGAGAGCATCTAGTCCAACCACCTAACTCTAAAATGAGGAAAGTGAGGTTCAGAAAAGGTGAGTGAGCTTCCCAAGCCCATGTGTGAGCCTTTCCATGGGTGACAGAATGGGCTCCTGTTAGACCTTCCCTAGTGAAAAGACTCAGCAGCCAGTTCGGTGCCTGTTACACTATAGCTTCCTGCTAGGTATTAGGATGTGTGTCCCTCTCTCTCCAACCTCTTCCTTTATCTTTGGGAACAAAAGGAAACCAAAAGGGGGGAATGGGTGAAGAGGGGAAAGGAATATTCCAGTGGCACATGTTTCCTCTCCTTCCTTGAGAGAGAGGCAGAGCAGAGGGAGCCTGTGTTGATGATGCAGTAAAGCTCAGGGCATCCAGACCAGGGACAGGGGTGGGTTGTGTGTCCAGTGCTTAGTCAATTTCAGCCTGTCAAACTCTGGTAGGCTCCTGGGACCTGTCTCTGGAGGACAGTGAAGGGCTAGATCAGCTCCCTCTCCTGAGCTGTGCACTGGGGGAGGCCTCTGGGCTAGCCAGCTGGGCCGTGCAACTGCTGCAAGCTGCCTTCCTCTGCTCTGAAGCGCCAGCCGCTGGTGCTGGGCCTGTCTAATGAGCTGTCAGAGGCGGCTGCAGCCCCATGTGCCTTCCTGTGTTGACTCCAATGGCTATTTTAAGCAGGGAAGATGGTGGGAAACAGGAAATGTCCCAACTACTAGAAGTTTTGCATCCTCCAAGGAGAGGAGCTGGGAACCAGATGTCTCTTGTGGGCAGCAGGAAGCAGGGGCGTGCAGGGGTGCTGCAGAATCCTGGCTTGGCAGGCTCAGGGCAGGACCTAGCAGTGACACGCTGAGAATCCAGGCAGCTGGGGCCCATTCCAGGCTGCCCCAAACATTCCCCATCTTCCTCGAATGCCTCGGGGCCCCGGGGTCCTCCGCACACAGGCAGGTTTCAGGTCTGCATGAGAAGCTGCCTATCAGCTGAGGCCTTGACCTCTGTGTTTGGATAATGAGCCTTCTCAGCAGGAGCCAAAAGGCTGAGCTCTGGGGCAGCCTGAAGAAGTCAGCGTGCAACCTGCATAGGCTTCCGTGGAGCCGGGTTGGCAGGAACTAGACTCCAGTGAAATGCCCTGCCCTTGGCCCGTATCACATCTGGCTGCCAGATCTATTATTAGTCATGTGTGCGTCGTGGGGGCCCAAAGACGGGAACAAGGGGCTGGCAAAAGGCTTGGTGGCCCAGGTTTGGAAGGCAGAGTATCAAGGTTATACTAAATCTCCAGAACCCTCCAGAGAGAGAAGCATGATCCAATAACTCCAATGTTTTAGCACCACTCGTTTGGGTAGTGTGGGACTGGGTTGGCAGCCCGGTCATGCGTGGCTGTGAGGATGAATGAGAGACTGCTCAGCTCAGAGCCTGGAGCACAGCATGTGCCCAACAAAGTGGGAGTGGCTCCGGTCATCGTAACAATAACACTGACATTATTATTATTTTCACCATCCTCCTCCCCTTCACGGGCAGCTTCATCCCTGCCCCACAGTCACCACAACCTTAGCACAATTAATTCCCCTGAGGACACCTCCAAACCCCATTAAACAGATAAGGCAGCGGAGGCCCACAGCCAGTGAGCCACCCCCGGTTATCTGCCAAGAGGATGCCGGAGCAGTTCAGATACCCTCCCCGGTGGGCTGAACCTGCCAGCAGGAGACACAGAGGCGAAGGGGAGGCCCACCTGGCATGGAGTACTTGGAGAAGTCGGGCAGAGTGTGTGAGAAGGAGACAGTGCTGCCCCCGCTGGGACTGGACATGCCGCTGGCGACAGGCGAGGACGACACCTTCCCGTTGATGGTGGCGTAGTTGGGGAGACCGCCCACTCGGTCCCCCATGGACATCCTCCACTTCTCTGGCAGGGCCGGCGTCGGGCTCCCTTGCCGGAAGGCTGCCGAATCTGGTGAAGGGGAGGTGGCGGGGCTGCTCAGGCCCGGGTAGTAGGCAGGAGACACGGGGAAGGAGGGCGTGGAAGGAGCCTGGTAGCCAGAGGCACTGCTCTGCCGGGACAGCGTGGGTCTCCGGTCCTCAGGGGTGGAGTAGCCACCGTAGGCGACGTGCCGGTCTAGGCTGGGGCTGCTGGGAGCCATGGATCCAGACGCTCCGAGATGCCGGCCCAGGCTGGGGCTTCCGGGGCTGGGCACTGCGTTGCCGTGGAGACCGGAGGCCAAGTTGCCCTGGTGGGCCCCGGGATGCCGACCCAGGCTGGGGCTCCCTGGAGTGGTGGCCACGCTGCCCGGGAGGCCTGAGGCCTGGTGGGCCCCCGGCTGCTGGCCGCGGCTGGGGCTCCCTGGGGTGACAGCCACACCGCCATGGAGGCCTGAGGCCTGGTGGGCCCCAGGGTGCCGGCCCAGGCTGGGGCTCCCTGGAGTGGTCACTGCGCTGCCCTGGGGGCTGGAGACTGCGTTACCATGGAAACCGGTTGCTGGTGGGCCCGTCACCTGGCGGTGGCTCACACTGGGGCTCCCGGGGGCAGCCATGCTGGGGTTGACAGCTCGGCGGCCAAAGCCGGGACTGGAGGGAGTGTTGGTGCCCACTGTCCTGTGGCGTGCCTGAGGGCTCCCGGGGACGGCGTGGACACCGGACGCGTTGAACTGAGGCCGGGCCTGGCTCTCCGGGGAGCCGAACTGCTGGAGTGAGTAGTCGGGGCTGCTGTAGCTGCTGCCCACGGCCGGGAGAGGAGAGGAACTCTGGTAGCTTCTCTGAGCAGAAGGGCTGGGCTGGCCCAGGCTGCCGGAGCGGAAGCCAGAATCCAGCAGAGGCTGGGTGGGCGTCCGGGGGCCCTGGTCACTGCTCTCCGCCGAGGGGAAGCTCCCCACCGAAGTGCTGGAGAGAGAAAGGGCAGATGGAGATGTCAGCAAAGGCACTTAATGAAGAGCAGGTTTCCAGGGAGCACACAGACCTCCCTCCCGCCGCCAGCAACAGCAGTGAGAGTTCCACTCGCACGCATGGGAACGCCAGGGCTTTTACATCATCTCGTGGCACCGTCAGAAGAAACTGAGGCTCAGACAGGTTAAGCAATTGGCTCAGGATCACACGGCTCATACAAGCCCAGGGTTTCGAGTCAGCTGTGTCTGATTCCAAAGCACATGTTTCCCCCACTGTACTCCTCTGGCTCCCGAACCGAAGTCAAAGCGAGACACACTCTTCCATCGACACTGAAGGTGTCTAACGAACAGAATGAACAACAAACAAAATAGGAGCAGACTTCGAGATAGAGCACAGACTGACAGCTGTGAGAGGGGAGTGGTGGAGGGGGGCTGGGTGAAAGGGTGAAGGGATTAAGCCAAGGGGGGAAACTCATAGACACAACAGTTTGGGGATTACTAGAGGGGAAAGGGGGATGGGAGGAGGTAGAAGAGGGTGAAGGAATGCCTGGTGAAGGAAGGACACAATACAATATACAGATGATGAACTATAGAAGTGTACACCTGAAACCTATATGATTTTATTAACCAAGGTCACCCCAACAAGTTCAATGAAATTAAACTAAAACACTGAAGGTGACTTCTGGTCAAACTCTATATCAGAGGAACTGAACTCTGGAGAGGGGGCCAAACCACCGGGATCCCATTCCACCCTGACTCAGTCTCCCCAGGTGTGCCATCATCACCTGGAAATGCTGTGGGTGTTAGAATTGTGCTTTTTACAGAATTTGTAGCTCCAAAATCCCAAGATAAGGAAGTCTCATCGAGGGAGATTTCAGCTCACTATAAGGTCCGCTCTCCAGCCACTGGACCTGGCCGGTAACAGAGCGAGCCGCCTTGCGCAGTAATGAGACTCACATCATGAAGAGCATTAGAGCAAAGGGTAGCTAACCTCCTGGCCTGGCTGTTGTGAGGCAGTATCTTCCATGGGAAGGTTAGGTTAGAAGCGCTCAGAGATCGAACCCAATTCTAAGACTGATAAAATTCAGTTCAGAGGAGAGTGCACCTGGCCACAATCAAAGGTTCTCCTCCGAAGTTCAGTCCGAGACCAGAGGGAAATACAATGCAATGGGCTGTGAGTTGGGAAACTCGGATTCTGCTGTTCAAGTTTTCCCATGTGAAAAAAGTAAGGGGGTTGGGCGCGATGGCCCTGATTCTTTCCAGATACAAACTCCCATCCCTCGATGACATGGCAGGAGAGACAGAGGTTGGCAGAGACCTCGCATGAGCAGCAGCTGCAGGGCGGTGGCAGGCAGACTCTGCACCGGCAGGCCTGGGGGGAGGGGGAGCTCCTCACAAAGACGATGGGCCAGAGCCTGGAGCTGGCGGCCGGGAGGCTTCTCCAGGCGGCCGGTCCGGTAGGATAAGCTCAGGTCTCCTGGGTGGTGTGAGGGGTGGGGGGCCAGGCCAGAGCCAAGGGTAGGGTGAAGTCAGGGGTCAGACCAGGACAAAGTCTGCCTCCCATCCCAGAAGCAAGGCCACGTCCTGGAAGGAATAGCCTGTATTCTGTAACAGGGAGGATGTCAGGCTGAGGGGGGCGGGCGTTCTGGAAGACCAATCCCCGAGGGAAAACGCTAGCTTCCTGAGCCCCGAACAGAGCCAAGATCGCAGCGGGAGGCATGTGAGCGGAAACTTCCTGCTGTCAGGGCACCTGCCACGGGGGCTGAGGCGAGGAAGACCCCCTTCCTTTCAAAGAAGACCCTACCTCCGCCCAGAGGCAGGCCTCCCGGGAAATGGAGCCCTCCGCCCCAGAAGGAGCCTGGAGGGGCAAGGTGGACGGAGGGTGGTGCATGCTGGGCTCGGGGTTTCAGAATTCTAAGAATTCTGGCTATGCCGTCCTTCCAGAAAAGCCCTCCCCCTCCCACCTCATCCAGCCCAGGAATCCTCCCTGCACCCCAAGTCAGAAGTCACGGCCCCTTGCTCTGGGCTCTGAGAACTTTACATCTGCGCCTGCTTTGGGTGCCTCTGACTGACGGGCACTGTACCCCGTCAGGTCTGGCCGGGAGGCAGAGACGTGGGCTCCCAACTAGAGGCCTTGGGTCTGAATCCCATTTCTGCTACTACTGAGCTGCAGGACCGTGAGCAAGCTGCTTCACCGCTCTGTGCCTCAGTTTCCCCTTCTGGAACGTGGGAGTGAAAATCGTGCTCACCTCATAGGATTGCTGTGAAGATGAAATAAAATAACCACAGGACACATTCAGCCAAGCGCCTGGCCATAGGAAGCATGCTCCGCCTAGTGATCGATGCTGCTGGATCTAACCTTGGGGGAGGGACCCCGCCCAGTTCACCTTCGCACCCCCATCCCGTCCAGCACAGGCTGGGTGGTGGGACTGAACGCGGCCTGGGGCTTATAGCTGCCCACGGACATGGCACTGGAGGGATGCTCCCTCCAGGTGCCCTGAGGAGCTAGTTTACTAGGAACAGCGTCTGGATATTATGTCTGCCTGTCCACACCCTGAGCGGATCCGAGAGGCCTCGCCCATGCTGACGCAGGCCTGGATTCTCACTGCCCACATGCTCCTCCTCCCCACTCACCTGTCGGCACTGAGGATGGGGCTGCTGGTGGAGAGGGGGCTCGGGGAGACAAAGGAGCCGCCCAGGGTCCCGTTCCTCAGGGGTGTGTCGTGGCTGTAGGCAGAGGCCGCCGGGGCACTGAAGCTCTTGGGCTCAGGGTCCTGAGGTCGGGGCCCGGCCACCGCCGTCCGCACCACCGACTCGACGTAGCTCCGGGGCTCTGCAGGCAGCAAGGAGACAGCGAGTGAGCACAGGTCCACAGGGTGCCGTGCACCCCACCCAAACTGCCAGGCGCCCACCTCTCCAGTGTCAAGCCTTGGGGATCCAAGCACACAAAGGGCGCTTCTGGGGCCCCTGCCCACCCCTCTTCTGCGTCTCAGAGAAGCTGTGGGCCTTTCCAGGGCCTCGCTCAGAGCTCCCAGGAAGGGACCCCGGCTCTGCCTCTGAACGTGGTCACCTCAGAACCTTCCCTCCCAGAGCGAGGAGGTCCATCCCCTGCTGGCATCCCTCCCAGCTGCTTCTTCTCTTTCACGACGCTGCCCCCGGCCCCCAGGCCCTTCTAGCACTCCAGGAACTCTAGGTACTCTCCGGGGACCTAGAACGCCAGCCGGCCTCGCCCTTATGTGGACAGCACCAGGCTTACACAGGCTTCCCCCCACACCCAGGATCCCCAGACGGGCTTGTTGTCCTCCCAGCAGGCCTGCGCCGGTGAGTCACGCCCAGCCCCTTCATGCCAAACACACCCAGCCCCCGGCCTGACACCCTTAGCATTCCTCCGGAGCCTCACACCATCGCCCCCGCGTGGTGTTCAGAACATCCTAAGAGGAAGGGGGCCAGGGGACAGGGGCCAGAAAGGTCACCTGACATCTGAGGCCTGGAGAGTAAGATGCTGGAGGCCTGGCCAGGGCGCATCCAGCTCCCCGCTCCGAGGCCAGCCCCGCGCCAGCTCGATATGAAGCAGGGAGGAGCAGCAGGACGCCCTGGGCTTCTCCAGCGACAGGACGAGGGATGGATGACATCCTCCACCTCCAAACCTGGCGCAGGGTCCCACCAACCCCCCCACCCCCCGGGAGGGACATGACTGAGCACAGACACACACTCTGCCCGCAGTGCTGGCGTCTGCTGAAACTACAGCCCGAGGAAGCGAAGAGCCTGTGCACGGCCAGGACCGTGCCGGTCACTGAGTCAGTACAGCCCCTCCCTATGCCCAAAGAAAACACTACTTTGGAAGGAGTCTGATCACCAGGGCATTAGGGGGTCCTGGCGTGGCTTCTGAAGTCACCTCAAGATCCGACACTGCATCCAGGCCCAGGGTCTGGGAGTCCTGTGTGCAACTCCGGCCAGAGGCTGCCCGCGGGTCCTAGTTTTCACAGGGGCAGTGGGCGGGGTGGGTCAGGCTGTCTGCAAAGGGACAGCTCGGAGCACTCTGTTCCAGGTACGGAGTGCAGGGTGAGGTAGCCCCAGCCACCTCGGCACTCAGAGCTAGGGTTCACGTGGGCAGAGGTCAGCGAGGCATCCTCAAGACCCCGCTCAACCAGCCCAGGCCACCTACCCACTTCACAGAAGCCCCAGGCCACATCCGTTCCAAAGGCATTGGTGCTGTGCCATCTGTGCCCAAGGCCCTACCAGAACCAGGAGATGCCACAGAGTCCTCTGACCCGGAGCAGGCCCACTTTTTTCTCAAAAAGGATCTGGTAGCATATATGTTAGGCTTGATGGTCGGACAGCCTCTGACACAACTACTCAGTTCACTAGTGCAGAGTGAGAACAGTAGTGGCAACAGTAAGCCAATGAGCATGTCTGAGTTGCAATAAAACTGTCTTTACAAAAATAGATGGTGGACCAGATTTGACCACGTTTGCTTACCTCTGACCTAACCCATCTCCTCAGCCGGGAGAGGTGGAGCGATTTGTCCCAGAACACGGCCAGTCAGTGGTTGTGGATACTAGCACCACGGCCTCCTGATTCTCAATGGTGGCTCAGAGTGGCCTAGAGAGGGGCCAGTCTCCCGGGGGCACCCAGAACTGGCTGCTACCCAGAACTCCAGCCCAGCACCAAGAGAACAGCCAACTCCACAGGCTGTTAATAGTGATAAAAATAGCCCTGGCTGGTGTTTCTCGGTGGTTAGAGCATTGGCCTACACATGGAAGGATTCGATTTCGGGTCAAGGGCACGTACCTGGGTTGCAGGTTTGATCCCCACTGGAGCACATGCGAGAGACAACCAATCAATGTGTCTCTCTTACATTGATGTTTCTCTTTCTCTCTCCCCCTCCTTCCTTCCTCCCTTCTACTCTCTCTAAAAATTATTGAAGAAATATCCTCCAGAGAAGATTAACAAAATAATAATAATAATAATAATAATAATAATAATAATAATCGATATTTGAAGAAAGTAGGATTTGGAGAATGTCGGTATCTTGCCCAAGTCATACAGAGGCAAGTGGGGACCAGATGGTCTGGCCCAGAGCCTAATCGGGGAGCTGATAATTTCAACGTATCTTTAGCCTTGAGAGGCTGGCTCTGTGTCCTGGGGTAACCCAGCTTGGCAGAAGGGGGCCTCACACCCTCCCTGCCATTCTCACTGTCTGAGGTCACTCCTTCTGAAAATTCCTCCTGAGTCCTTCCAGGCTCCCAGCCTCACCCACAGCACTCAGCACACATTCTCTCCCACCCAGAGACGGCCAGAGGGCCCACCCGCCCCCTTGTGCAGTGCCTGACACCTGTAGGCCCTCGATACGTGTCTGTCCCACAAACCAGCAGACGCATGATCTCTACCCTCCAGCCCTGCCCAGGCAAAGGTGCGTCACAGCTGAGACCTAAGAAGCACACGTTCATTTTTCTCATTCCCTGGAAGTCTTGTTGACCGCAAAGCTCCAGCTAAAACCCACATGACCTCTGAAGCGTGTGCTCTCCTCACACCAGCAATGCCCCCTGGGTCCATGTAGACAATCTCTGCTCCTCATGAACCCAGAGCAAGAGGGACTGGAGGAAGTTATTTGGTTTCTGAGTCCATCTCAAGAACTGTTCAACACCAACCTTTCAGGCCAAAAACTCCGTTTTCCCAAGTTTTCAGACTCAGATTTCTATAATGAAAATTCCTCCTTTTTCTGTCTGTTCCTGCCCCGCCCCACCTCAGTATCACATATAACTTGTGGGCTCCCATCTTTCTAGTCCATTGCCTTAACCACTCAGTCACAACTACTGCATAGGCTCCCAGTTTTCCACTTGCTGGATAGGTGACCTGGGAGAGGCTACTGAACCTTTCTGGGACTCAGTTTCCTCATCTGCAAAATGGGAATGAGAATACGCACCTGCCCAGCCAGGATCAAGTGACACGAGTTCCTTCTAATTCTTTCTTGGTGACTCCAACTAGCTGTTTACACTCGGCACCACCATTGCCGGCCTGTGCCCCTGCCGGGCCTGAGCCTCAACTGGGCCTGCGCCTGCCTCCCTCCACCCTCTTTCCTGCTGCTTCCCTCCTCTCCGCCAATCCTGGGGCAGCTGCACCCAGAGGCAACAGGGTTGGGCATGGGTGGGGGAGAGGGGGAGGTGGAGAGGTGGGGCCAGGGAGGGTGCTTCATGTAGAACATTCCAGGAGCCCAAACCCATTCCAAGTGGCTATTGGCGGCTGAGAGCAGCTGGAGACCCAGGAGAGACTTGGCCCCACCAGGCTAGGGGACTGTCGCCTCTTTACCCACACCCTAAAGTGCATTCTCTGCCTCCCAGGAGAGTCCCTTTGCCTGGACAGGAGGGCGCCTGTCCCCTCCAAGTAAATGAAGACTTGTGGGTGGGGGAGAGGAAGGAAGTAAAGAAACCCCGAGTCCCAATCCACAGGTCAAAAGGTCAGAATTTCAGACCTTTTCGACTGGGCCACATGCCACTCCTCGGAGTTCCCGTCACACCCTAGCCCTGCCCCGCTCTGCATTCCACCTGAGGCTGAAGTCTCACTCGTGTTTATATCCTCAGTGCCTCAGACAGGACCTAGCACACAGTAGGTGCTCAGTAAGTCTGCATCGCACACCACTGCCCCAGAATCCCAGGCGCTACAGTACACCCAGCACCAAGGATCTCAGAGCACGAAGAATCCCAGGAAGGGACATTTCTAGACCCACGTGTCTTCCTTTATGCAAAATCGGCGCCATCTAATCCTCGGGAGGAGCAGAACCTAACCTGACCGCCCCCTTTCCCTCTCCTCCTGTGTCACTGAGTAGATGTTCTTGATGTTGGCCTCCCATCTTTACTGCTAAAGGCTTTCCTCCTCTCCTTTCTCCAGGAAAGAGTACCTGGCCCCCATGCCCAGGAAAGTTACTGTTTGTGATCAGAGGTTGTGCCCATGGCAACCACATGGAAAGGGGCATCACCCACATGCTGATCTGATGTAGGATCTCAGCTGTTTCTGACGGATGTGTGGGCCTAGACAAGTCATCTAACATCCCCCAATGTCATCTCCTCATCTGAAAATGGGGTTCCTAGCACCTTCTTCTCAGTGTTTCTGTGATTATCAAACAAGATGTGAAGTGACCCCATATGGTCTTATTGAACCCCACTCTGTACCACAGTCCCCCTAGAATCCCCTAATTACAGCCTCCAGCTCCCCCTTGCGCTCAGCCTTTCTGACTTTGTAGTTCCTTAAAAAGTTCCCACCCAGGGCCTTTGCACATGCCCTTTGCCTCTGCATGGAATGCTCTCCTTCCATCCCAGTTCCACTGAGTTGATGTCACTCACTTTCACATCTCACTTCTTCAGCCAAGGTCAGGGTCTTTACCATAAGGTCCCCTAAAACTTCATCCCTTTCCTTCAGAGCACTGATCTCGCTATGTCATTCTGAGTGACCATTGAATTCTGGCTCCTGTTCATGCATATGCTCCATGAGATTAGGAACCATTCTATCCCTGAATCCTGGCCCGGGGCCTGTCCCATAGTAAGCACACGAAATATGTATTGACTAACTGAATCAATGAATGACAGGACAAATTAATAGAAAGCATTTAGCATGGTGCCTTGAACGGAGCAGAGTCCCCTGCAGTCTTTCTTTCCCCTGGTTGAGTAATTCTGCCTCTGACCACTTTTCTCACAGGCATTTTTTTTTTTTTTCCTCCATCAAAGTGTCAGCAGGGAAAGCAGAGCTTCAGAGAGTCAGCAAAGAATGTGCTTTCGTCTGACCAGGAGGCAGCACATGAGTCAGGAAAAATGAAACTGGCTGCCCACAACCTAGGTCCCTGCCCCAGACCCACCCCTCAGGCCCTGGCAGCAATCCCGACCCCCACACTGCAATCTCAGGGCGCCGTGCCTGGATGCTGGAGGAGGGCTTTGAAATGGCCACCTGACTAGGAGACAGGAGATATTTCCACTCTCAGCCCCACTGCCTTCTCACTGTGGCCTGGGCCAGATGCCCCCACCCTCCCCCACAGGTAGGACCTCAGCTCCACAGCTGTGAAGTGATGGGTGTGGCAGGGCTGATCCCTAAGAACCTTCCCCTCCTAATTCTGTGGCTTAAGGCCAGTTAGAAGGGTTGGGGTGGGGGAGGACTGGAGGCCTTGTAGGTGAGAGTCACGCGTGTGGACAATGGGCAGGTCTCAGCTCGGTACTGTAGAAACTCACTCCTCTGAAGTGCCATCCCAAAGTGGAAAAGAGCCAGGCCTGTCAGCCTGTGGGACAGTCCCCCTCAAACCTTCCCACAGCAGAGGGTTTGAGGGTCCACCAGTCTGTTGGAGTCAGCAACCACGAGGAGAGCGTGGTTGGGCATCGGAAAGACATGGATGCTAGCTCTGGGTCCAAGCTTACTCTACACTCCTGTCCCAGCCTCCCTGCCTGTCCGGAACCAGCAGCCAGGAACAAGCTGCAGCTCACCCCGCACTGGGATCAGTTGCTGGGGTGCCTTCTTCTGCAATCTCCAGGCAGCCTGGCAGCCTGGCTTTCAGCCCAAACTCCGGCTGAAAGTGGGCAAAACTTATGGAATCTCTAGCCATCCTGCCTGGGGGATGGCAGACTCAGAGCGGCACAGCCCACGCCCGCTTTGGGAGCAGAGTATCAAGGCGGTAAGTGCAAAGGAAAGCAGAGTGGGTTTAAGAAAGCCAGGCCACAGGGACCTAGGGTCCCGGTGGGAAGTCAGAACATCTAACATGTCAGGCTGGAAGGTGCTTCTACACTCATCTAAGCCCCCCCTTGGTGGAGATGGCCTGACCACACCAGGTGCCCCCAAACCACACCTACGCCACCCAGGCTAGCACCCCCCTGTGTTTCACCTGCTGCTGAGTCATCATTTGAACTCTGTTCCTAATAACTTAAAGGCTTTCAACCAGACTGTGTCCCCTTTCTGCTTCCCATGTACAATGTGGAGCTCATCTAAATTAGGGGTTAGGCGGAGACACAGACATGCTAGCGCCTGGATACCGCCAACATTATGTGTATGGTGTCCAGATGCACAGGGGTGGGTCCATAGCTTTTCTGAAAACCCCGAAGGAAGGCACCAAAATTCCAAAAAAATAGACCTCCAACCATCTGTGTTGATAAGAGCCCGGGCAAGAGCTTCAAAAAGTCAACTCATGGCTCTAAGACAGTGGTTCCGAGGGGTGACTGGCCCCTTAGGGACACTGTCCATGTTGGAGACATTTTGGTTATCATTGAGTAGGTGAGTGCTACTGGCATCAGGCAGAGGCCAGGGACGCTTCTAAACACCCCACAATGCACAGGGCAGCCCCACAACTAAGAATCATCCGGCCCCAAATGTCAGTAGTGCGAAGGTTGCAACGCCTGTTCCGAGCTCTGCATGCAAATACACCCAGGAAATGGAATAATGAGCCGCTGCGTGAGTCTCCTCGCCCTCCAAAGGGGCTTGTTGTACCCCAGGAGGGGTGGCAGCAACAGGGGGTGTTTTGTCAGCAGGACACCTGGGCCCCATCTGTGCCTGAACCCGAGCCACGAGCTCCTCAGTCAGGCTCAGGCCCTTTCTGGGGGGCAGCTCCTCACCAGGGGGTAGGGACCAGGAGGCTATGTGCCTGGTCACTTGCGATGTGGCCAGCAAAGGGCTGCCCCCAGCCCGCCAGCCAGCCAGCTCTGTAGGAAAAGCCATTCCCAGACCCGGACAGCGGGAAGCGGTACACAGCAAGCCAGCACTTACCTCCCGACGGCTCTATCACCTCCTTCCCCTCATCCTCCTCTGGGGAAGATGAGAAGAGAGGTGGAGAGGCAGAGGAGAAGAGAGGCAGGCGATGAAGAGGAGAGGGAGAGCAAAAGGGAGAGAAAGATCCATTAACAGAGATTACTTCTTGAGAGAGAATCCGCTGAGAAAAGGGTGGGGGAGCAGGGGTGAGGCTGGTAGAGCGGTGACTCTCCACACAAGTGCCCCGAGGGGTGGGGTGAGATCCACCCTGACAGGACCCCGGGTTCCAGGGTGCCACCTGTGTGTGGTGGCGAGGTGCTCGGGGCTCACAGTGTCAAGAGGGCCTGGCTCTCTGGAGCTGCAGGCCCGACCCCCGTGGCTCTAAGTCCGAGCCATCCCTGTCACAGCCGCTGCCCGGGGCTCTCTCAGGCTGGGTCTCACGCAGGGGTGTCCTGGCCTGGTGAGAGGCTGCCCCGCCCCCTCTGCTGTGCCCGTGTCCCTGACCATGCAGAACCTCCGGGGTGGGAGGCTGTGCCCGGCCGTGTGTCCGTGGGGGTCACACACATGCCACTGCGCTCCTACCTGGCAGGATCAGTCTTCTGGTGACTAAGGAAAAGAAGCCACGTTGCCCCAGAGTCCCAGCCCAGCCCTCATACCCGGGTCTAGGGAGCAAGTTCTGGACTCAGCCTGATGGAAATGGCTACTGAGGGCCCAGGCCCCCGCGCTTCTTCCCCCACAGGAAGGAGAGGAGCTGAGAGATGAGACCAGGAAGTGGGAGGCATGAATGTGTGGGGGCATGCCTGCATGTGTGTGCACATGTGTGTGCGTACACAAGTGTCTGAACACCAGGGCACGGGGCAGCCTGGTTTCTGGCACAGAGCTGGCCAACTCCAAGGAAACGGAGGCCAGGCCTCATATCCCCAAGTCAGAGGACGCTGGGAGTGGCGCTGACCCCAGACGTCAATGGGAAGGAAGGCTGCAAAGGGGTCTTCCCCTCTCCCCGACCCAGACCTCAGCATGGGCACAAACCCAGGCTGCCAACTTGTGTCCAGGAAGGTCTGGATAACCCACCACCTCTGGGCCCCGCCCAGGACCACAGGGTCCTCTGAGTCCCCACTCCTCTCGCTGGCCTCCCCACCGTCTCCCTTCCTGCCAGAGCCACTCACCGCCCTTGGGATGCAACAGGATCTCTGCCGGGTTGTGGGGTTTCAGGCCCAGAGCAGACAAGGGTGTCTTGGCCAGACCTGGCGGGGAGCGCACTGTGCGGGAAAGAAGAGGGGAGGCATGGGGAGTGAGCAGGAGGTGCAGGGGAGGAGGGCAGGAGGGAGGGTACCCATGGGTGAGGGCTTGTTGGGGAGGAATGGGCCACAGGAGCGGGGACAGAGGAACCAGTCCCAGCCCAGGAGCGCTGCTACGGCTACACTGCCCTGCCCTGTCTGGTTTTCCTCTGCAGTGCGAAGGTAAACTGAGTCGGGATACGGAGTCCCTGTCCCAGCCTTGCCTCTCCACCTTGAGAAAATCCCTCCTTTCCCTAGGCCATGATTTAACATACATGCAGGTTTCTTTGGCTATCTGATTTTTCACATATTATTCCCTCTTCCTCCTCCTCTTCTCTCCCCCCCACCTCCTCCAACATAGAGTCTTTCTAAGCGAGGCACTTAGATGGACTTAGAGAACAAAGGAAAATGGAGCATCCAGAGGGCACATCCTGTCATGAACAGACGGAGGAGAAGGAGTCAGTGGAACCATGCCAACCCTGAGAGCCCAGGCCAGCGGCAGCCAAAGGTCTTTGACTCCCAGCCAAGCGTGTCCCTTGCACACACCCAGGCAGAATTTCTCCGCATGGGGCCCTCTGTTCCCAAAACCTCAGTGTTCTAGAAGAGGCAGAAGCCCGATCTCCACCGTCCTCAGGCCAGAGCACCGGCTCCCTGCACTAACCTCAGGTCCCTCCCGAACCACATGTCCAGGTCAGAAGTGTCACGTAACTCACAAGGTCAGAGAGGGCTGCCGGGCTTTGTCCCACCAGCCAAGGAAGAGGCCAGACTTGGAGCTGATCTACCGAGAGACTGTTACACCCAGTCACGAGATTTCTCAATGGCGGCTGCCATGTATCCTAACACATCTCCAAGGAGAAGCAAGAGAAAGAGCTCTGTGTCTGCTATCCCGGTCATCAGACGCCTGCCAAGGCCATGAGCTCTGAGGACACGCAGCCACACGGATCCACCAGGCAAGGCTGCCTGACCCACACCCACAGCCTCAACAGACTAGCTGTGGCCCTCAGTTGTCCGGGACCCTCCAAGGCAGCTCTGGGACTCTCTCTGGCCCCACCTCCCTTTCCCAAAAGACAGTGATACCTACAGGAAACCAACAAAAAATACAATCTCTCAAGGCAAGTAACATATATATCGTGTCTGTGAGAATAATGAAACATCACAGGGCTCCGGTGGGTAGCCCACTCCTGCACTCCACCTCACTTTGTCCTCAGATGCCCAAAAGATAAATACATCAGAAGGGACAACTGTGTACAAACACTCAGCCGGGCATTGGGTAGGTCTAGGTGTGAGGTCTGTTGGTCCCTCCTTCTCCCTTTACACACATGCACAGAAGTGTCTTGCCATCGACACTTATCAAGCACATATCAATGTTTGTCACTCAATGGATTTCCATGCCCAGCCTCAGAGGCCAAGAAGAACTTGAAGGCTCTGCAGGCCGCAAGTGTGAGAGGTTTCTCTCCTTTCCCCTCATGCATCTCCAGCTCCTTCCTTGCTCATGTCCCAGTCTGCAGGACCTGGCCCTTCTCTGAGGCGGGCCAGTGGGTGGCCTAAAGCCAGGCCAAGCTTTTGCTTCGGGGAGAATTCCTCGCATTTCTCCGCCTCTGCCCTCTCTCCCAGCCCTGTGCATGGGTGAAACCTCTGACTTATTCTCCCCTCCCCCTCCAGGGCACCCAGGACTGACCAAGGGGAGAGAGAGAAAAAACGGGAGCGTGGTAAAACCCAAGTTTTACAAGTGGTAAAACCCAACCCAAGCTCAGCCTACAGGGCTTCCGTCCCAAACAGGAGGATGGCCAAGATCTTAGCTGTTTGGACCGATAGGGAAGTAGAGTACGAGTAAAGGTGAAGGGTAAGGCCAGGGACAGAGACTCCACGGAGTCATAAAAGGCTACAGAGCTGCCTCCTGCGTAGATCGCCCAGGGCTCCCACTGTCCAAACGGTCGCCATGAGCCTCACGGGGCTAGGAAGAACTTGCAATGTGGCCAGTCTGAACTGAGAGCTGTACACACCCAGATTTCAAAGATTTGGTGTGAAACAGGAGCACAAAATATCTCAATATCTACCATTCCATGTTGAAATGATAATATTTTAGGTCTCTGGGGTTAAATAAAATCTATTATTAAAATCCGTTTCACTGGTTTCCTTTTATATTTTTTAGAGACTGAAAAATGTCTCATTACTATTTTTATAGTGATTTACCTGTTGAGATGGTAATATTTTGGATACTTGGGGTTAAGTAAAAAAGATCATTAAACTTAATTTCTCCAGTTTCTCAATGTTTTTTAAACGTGGCTATTTAAAAAGTTTAAATAATAAACGTGGCTCGTGTTAGATTGCCTTTGGACTGCATTGCTCTAGGGAGAGCCATGGTCTCCAGTCATGACGGTGGCCTCCCGCACACCCCAGAGAGCAGGCAGCACAGGCTCTGGTGGAGCGAGGGCCTGGTTCTGGTGGCAGCCACCAGGAGAACGCAGGGCCTGTTCTCCTCCTCACACCCCGCCCCTCTCATGGGGCAAATGCCTAGACAGTCTGGGCGCAGCCCAGCCAACCCATCCCAGAGCAACACCAGCCCCCACTCTTCTGCACACCCCGGCCTTTCCCGGGGACCACTGGAGCCTTCCCAGTCCAGTGTTGTTCATTCCCTGCTTTCCCACAAAGCGTTTCTCCAAGCTCCTCAGCATGGTCTCTTCCACCACAGAGGGAAGCACTGTCTCACTCCTGCGCTCACCCAGCCTTCTCTGTGCGGGGAAACCCCTCTGCCCTGTGGGGATTTGCCTCTCTGGCGAGTGCATTGGGGGTGCAGACTACCTGCTCCTGCCTGCAGGCCACGGATGGGAGATAGGGGATTCGGTCAGCCTACGCATGCGTGGCCTTTCTTTCCTTGACAGACACTGAATGGCGGGCCAGGATGCACACAGAAATGGGCATTAGAAGCAAGAAGGCCAAAGGTTGTCCTGCTCGTCACAAAGAGTCACTTTAGCGTACGGGGTGTTTTGGATGGAGGATGCAAAGTCTCAATGCCTACGAAAACTCCACACCCGGGAGCCCAGGGGCCCCCACTTCAGTCAGTGGGGCCCTAAGACTCCGTTGATGCCTCTGTAGATGTGGGGGTGTGGACCACAGAAAAAAAAGGAAATAGGGGTGGAAGGGGAAGTGACATGAGCCACAGGGTGATTAGGGTCAGACGGTGGCTCTGCTCAACTCTGCCAGCACCCCCACCCCAAACCTGGGGTGCTTCCAGAGGCAGGGGCTCAGAGGGGATCCAGGGGACCCAAGGAAGACAGGCTTAGTAGGGATCGCTTACCCCCACTGGGCGGTGGGCTGGACGGAGCAGTTCCCTCCATCTCCTCGAAGGCCTCTTTGTAGCTGTGCAAATGGGGCTGTGGGAGAAAAACACGGGGAGGAAAGGGGGTACATTAGAACCACAACCTTGAGAAGGAGGTGTTTCCCCGTTAACCAGGCCACAAAGCCCCTCGCCAACCCGACCCTCCACCCCTGCCAGGTGAACAGAGATCCAAGGCAGAGACTGCCCACATTCGTGGCCCCTACAACCTCTTGTAGCCAAGAGAACGGGACATGGTGATTTTGCCAGGCCATCTGTAAGGCACAGGCGGAATTCAGGAGCACCTGCTTTGGAAATATTTCAAACCGGGCAGAGGTGAAGGGCTGGGGGACAGAGGACACGGGTCCAAGCAGAAGGCAGGAGAGGAAAGATGTCCAAGTGCCATTCATGTCCAGGATGACTCAGCCTGGATTTTATCAGACATGGACTATTCGCATCAGAACCTTCCAGAGTACACGTTGAGCATGCAGGTTCCCCATCCCAGAGCTGGAACCTCTGGAGGTGGATTCAGGAGTCTACATTTTAACAAACTGCCGGTGATCATTATCCACGTTGAAGTTTAAGACCCAATGCCTCAGCCTTAACCGATGTGGCTCAATAGATAGAGCATTGGCCTGTGGACTCAAGGGTCCCAGATTCGATTCTGGTCAAGGGCATATACCTTGGTTGCGGGCACATACCCAGTGGGGAGTGTGCATCAGGCAGCTGATCGATGTTTCTCTCTCTCTCTAATTTTTCTAACTCTCTGTATCTCTCCCTTCCTCTCTGTAAAATATATATATAAAAGACCCAATGCCTCCAACCTCAAATCACTGAAATATGTCAGCAATGCAAAGGTTTGGGCATTGAAGTTAGATCTCCAGGGGAAACCCTATGCCTAGAAAGGGCTCAAAAACACCTTGTCAGGCTGTATGATCTGGTTTGAAGTTCACAGACTGTGGTCCCTGTGTCACACCCGGATCCTTACCAACCTCTCGAGGAGCTCTTCAGGAGTCAAGAAGGGAACTCAATCTCAGTGTCAATGGAAGCCGCAGGGACATAAAAGCTATTTAGGGAAGGAAATGGAGGTCCAGGTTCCACATGCGGGAACCCGGGGTGAGGATGCGGGGAGGAAAACAATCACCAGCTTACTGACAGGTCCATGCTGCCCGGTTGACCATCATGTTGCTGGGGCATTCAGATGGGCTCTGCTACTTTCTGTGGTCCCAGGATGTGGCCTAAGGACTCACCTCTTTGGGCCGCCCTCCAGGATTGAGAGCAATCGTGAGAGCCAGCTCTGGGGACACGCACTGGACTGGGGAGCGCATCCCAGGACTCCGGGGGGATGAGGGTTCTGGAGACTGGTTCTCATACTGTCCGTCGCTGGCTGCCCGCCTCCGGAGAAGGGCTGGGGGCTCTGCAGGCTGCTGCTTCTCCCGAGACTGGACCCCTGGGTGGAACGGCAGGGCAGAGAGGGCCATGAGCATATCGTACGAGAAAGGACCCATGGGGCCTGATTCCCCAGAGGAGACAGTGCACTCTCAGGGACCATGCTGGAGCTAGGCCTGCCTCTCCTCTGCAAACCCCACCCCCCACCCCCGCCTCCCTCTGCCCACACCCTGCAGGGCGGGGGACCTGCTTCAGTTGGGCTGGCCTTCACCAGGAATCTACTCCGCACAGGGCTGGGGCCCAGAACACAAAGGACTGATACAAGAAACAGATGTCAACTCCTTCCAAGGCCTGGAGGCAGAGGGCCAGGGCTTCAAGGCAAATGAGGGAAGGTGGAGGGAGGAGAGACAGTCTCCAAGGCGACTGATCAACCAACAAGCAACATCAGGCCCATGGGGAAGGACTTTTGGAAAGAGTGCATAATGCATCATCTTGCAAATGGTGCTCCCGAGAAGAAACAAAGAAGTGACTAAGTCCTGTTATAAAGTCTCCAGCCCGAACTGGCCCCTAGAATACTGCTGACCTTCTCCAGGGTTCCCCAACCTCATCTAGTACACTTCCTAAACCTCTTACCAGCTTCCCTTATGCCTGTCTTAGCTGCCCACCCCTTTCTTGCTCCCAAAATGGTCCAAGTTCCTACCCTGCCCCTCCCAGCAGAATAGCCTGCAGAGCTGGAGTTGTGAGCTCCATCTGCTTTTCTGTTCTTCTTTCCATTCCTCAGGCCTGGGGATGTTGTTAACCCCACCCTTCTTCCCTCCCACTCTCTCTTCCCACAGCTGGGCTGAGGCACAGAACACATTGCCTCACCAAGCTGGCTCCAGAATCCTAGAAAACGTACCCCCGAGTCCCAGAGACCAAGATCCAAGCTCCTGGTCATGATGATCAGCTGGTGCCAGCTCTCAGCCCTGCCCTCACCCCCAACCCCCAAGAGCAATGAGGTACTGGGACTTACCAAAGGTCACATGGAACTGAGACCCTGGCCACACCAGCCCCATGCCAGCACACCTGGGAACCCTGTCCCATGGCACATGTGCACACAGGCACAGACACCTCTACACACACACACACACACACTGCTGGCCCCTAGGAACGTGCTGATGCAGCTAAGCAGCAATCACCTTCCTTCAGATTGAATCACCTACCACCCAGAATGGGGTCTGCACACCACGGGCGGCCTCCCAGCTCCCGTCTGGCACGGCCACGGAGGCTGCCATGAGCAGTACGTGCTGGGAAGCCTTCCTACCTGCCATGAATAGTAGGATGCCTGCTGCCAACTCCAGGGACGGGCACATACACACATGCACACAGACACACTCCAACACACACAATCATATTTGCCTGTAGTTAGGGGTCCCATCTGGAGAGCCGCCAGACTGGCACACACACTCACAGACGCAGAAGACACCCAGTGGTGTTTCGAGTCTACACGCGGAGCTATTTATTGTGAGAGGGCAGCCTGCCTGCCACCTCAACTAAGAGAGAAGAGCCCAAATGGGGACGGTAATCTGGACTCACAAACTGCTTTACTTAAAGAAAATAAGCCCCTCACTTTGAAGTGCCCTGACTTTTGGAATAGAAACTTGGGGATCATATCATCCTAACCAGGGGCCCGATGAAAGATGGGGTGCATCTCCAAAAGTCCAGAGCAGCGCACAGGACCCCACTGCATACCAGGCCCTCAGCCCTCAAAGCAGCCGCCTGCACCTCCCACCAGAGGTAGCGGGCGCCCCTACCCTGGGCTGAGCTTCTCTCTCTCCCTCTGAGCCCTCTTCCCCTCAGTCTTACTGGGCGCTCGGTTCAGAACTACTGCTGGTTTCATTCCTGGCAAAAACATCAGAGAGAAGCAGACATAGCCATTGATTTTCTAATAATAATTGTGACAAAGGAGGCCCATTTGGAAAAGGCTCTCGGGGTTGGAACTGAGTTCAGCCCCAAGGTTAGCAGAAATGCATTAGGGCCGGTTTCAGTTCCGGCCGGCCCAGCCCCGCAGCCTCTTCCTGGCAGGTCCCTGGGCCTCAGTGAGGAGTGGCCAGTCTCCCTGTGTGGGATCTGGTGTCTGCCCTTGAAAGTGGGTCTGCTGGAGGCACTGAATTTCACAGAGGAACAAGAGCCTTCACCCCAGGATGCCCATGACAACCTCCATGTTCAGGGGGTTGCAATGCCCGGAGGGAGGCTGGGCAGCTGGAGGAGCTTACCGACTGTGGAGGGCGGGGACCCTCCCAGAAGGCTGTCGGACACCTGAGAGCCATCTCCCCTCCTCACGGCCCCTCTCCAGTGCCACCAGAGCAGCACGTGGGGGCGTGGTCTGTCCAGAGGTAGAGGGACAACCAGAATGCCCTCCACAGAGCTGGGGCGCTCAGAGGAGCCTGCCTCTGCAGGAGGGGAAGACCCCGCATTCCACTCCCATGGGACAGCCCCTCCCCCGCAGAGCGCCCCACGGCACCAGTGCCAGCCAGGGCCTCTCACATTCTTTGAACACAGTGTCTCACTGTTGTCCCCCTTGGCAGGCCCAGATCTGCCCCTCGGTGCCCGGAGAGCCATGTTCCCTCTCTCTTGTCTGTCCCGACGGGAGGGGAGCTGAAGCTGGGCGGAGGGAGAGAAGAGAGCCCCATTGTTCCCCAGCCAAGCTGGGCAGTCTGGACACAGGCTGACAGCCAGTGTCAGGGAGAGAACAGCCCTCCCTCACGTCCTGGAAACGGACCGATAGTAAAAATAGGCCTGCTCCCCCACTCACCCCCAGGCCTTTCTGTCTCCAGGGCCCTCTCTCCCTCAGGGCCACCATGCCTGTGTGCTCCACTCTGCACGCACAGAGGCACCACGCAAATATCGATACACATATACACACACGTGTGTGCACACAGAGCCTTCACCCAACAGGAACAGCGGGAGGCCAGGGTCACCCTCAGAACCTCTCGTCAGCCCCTTCATACAGCAATCATGTGTTCTTTCGGATAACGATGGGCCACACTCAGAGCCCTTTGTCATCCTCTCAGGGATCACACACCATGGGCACTGGGCCTTCCCCACCGCCTGCAGGACAGGGGTCACTTCAGCCCAGGGCCTCCACACGAGCTGCCAGATCTGAAGAGCAGGGCACCGGAACAGCCCCATTTCCCAGGGGTCCTCACTCAGCTCTCCGGGACAGTACTGAGTTTGGGAGCAGCTGGCTGCAAGGTTCCCCCTTAAGTGGGCTGGACCTAGGACACTAAATCTACCTCATCTAGCACACACACACTCATATTCTCACACACACACTCACAAACACTCACACATATTCATACACGCATGCACACACTCACTCACACACACACACACACACACACACGCACACACAAACGCGCACTGCAATTCTGGGGCTGTAGTTCTAACACCATCAATACACATTCTCTGGTAGGGTCCGGCCCTGACCGCCCCTGGCCCCACAGACAAATATCCCCAGCGTCAGGCTTCATCACAGGCCTTCCCTTCAAGCCCATCCTGGCCGCTTCCACCCCCCAGACCCAGCTCTTCCTTCCAGCCTTCCGATTTCCAGAAGACCGGTTCCTCAGCTCCAGGTGGCGGGGCAGGTCCGATGGCATGCCGGGGCTCTGGAAGTGAGGGGATCCGGGAGGCCACCTGCTGGGCCAGGGCACCAGAAAGCCACACGGCGATCACACTAGCAGCCCCAGGGCAAGCCATGCCAGCTCCCCTCAGGACAGGCCCACCACCCCAGAACGCCCGAACCCCGGGTCCAGATGAACCCTGCACTCCCCACCACTGGGCCGAGAAAAAGGAGGAGGGAGAGGAGAGGAGGCAGACAGGGGCATTCTGCTAGAGCCATCTCCCCATTTTCCATGGACTGGGAGAAGGGAGGTCCAGGAAATTCCAGATATTACCATTGGGAGTCAACTGTGGCCACCACCCCTAATAAGCCTTTTCCCAGAACTAGTCAAGGTCACGGCATCTTCTCCTGGACCCAGGCCTGTGGCTCCGAGGAGCAGGAAAAGAATAAGGTGACTTGCAAGGTCCCCAGGTCTAAAAGGCTATAGGCCCCATTTGTCAAGAGACCAAGGTAGACATAGTGAACCCCATCACTCTCAAACTGAGCAATCTGGCCCTTGGGGAAGGGTCCCCCATGTTGGGAAGCAGGGCAGCACTCCATTTTTCACGTGGGGGAGCTTAGCTCTGAGTAATGAAGAGACTTGCCCAGGGTCACAGAGGTGGTCACATCAGACCCAGGACCACACCCAGGGCTTCTGGCTCTTGGCCGTAGGTATCAGAGATTTGGAATGAGGTCACAGCGGTGCTCTGTGCCCAGGGAGTGCTATATTCAGGAATGGTCAGAGCGGTAGGAGCTGGGCACCACTCTTTCCTGCTGAGGCCCCAGATCTGGTGCTGAGCTCCCTCTTGTCCACAGGGAGCCTTAGAGTTAGCCTTCTTACCCAGACCCTGTTCCTAGCAGGTAAGGCCAAGGCTGAAAGCATCAGGCCTGTGTCCATGCAGAAGTGGGAGCACTCACTCATGCAGAAGGAGGGAGGACAAGTGGGCAAGGAGAGAGATGGGTGCAGTGAGAAAAGGAGAGAGGGGCAGCAAGAATAGGAAAGAAATGGAAAGAAGAGAACAGAAGGAGAAGAAAAGTGAGGAGGAGATGGAAAAATAAGGAGAGAGGAAGAAAGTGGCAAAAGTATGGAAGCAATAGTTCATGAAGGAGGAGGGGAAGAGAGAAACCGAGAGCTGAGATGAGGGCCATGGAGTTATAAAGGGGAGAGGAGAGGAGAGGAGAGGAACCAACCAGAGAGGGAGGAAGATCGGAGCCGGTGGAGAGGAGGGCGCCAGTAGCTGACATTTAGCCCAAGATCCTGCAATCTGGCATTGTACGCTGCCCACACCACCCCGGGGGAGCCGGCAGGGAGGGGAGGCAAGCAGGAAGGGAAGGGATGACACCAGGCAGGGAAGGCACCACACCCATAGCACAGGGGACAGGTGGACATGGGACAACGAAGAACGCCAGGAACGAGGCAT